AGTTTGTGTTCTTTTGTACGACAAGGCTTGTTGGTATTCACTATAATACGATGTTATTCTGAAATCACTTATAATTAAAAGATACCAATCCAGTCAAGTCAGAAATGAAGTGGTTCAAAGGTATATTCAAAACGCCATCGATATATCGCGATGTGTTTGGTCTAAGCTGGCTTGTAGTGGCAACACGTATGTACAAGTTGTACACGTGACCCGGCGTAAGTGCGTGACCGAGCGCCTTCAACTAGGCGCGTTCACTAAGACTATTGAGGCCAGCATCAACGTCAAAGACCTACAGAATAGTTTATTTTGGGTTCTTATTCACCCTTACATTATGATAAATACAAAATTTACAATCGCGCAAGGTTCATCGACATACTCATACTACTGATAAATGAAAAACAACGCTTGATGCAGATAAATAATTCTTGAATCTGCATGTTTTTTCAAAGGTAAAATTACAACCCCAAAGAAATTGTAGGAAACAGAGTTCCTGTCACGTCTCAGTACTTTCATATATCTTGTAGATCACCAACGTAGATGATCTATGTCGAAATGATTGGAGGCTTACTCGAGTTAGACGTGAGTGGTGTGACAAACTAGCTAACGTCGAAGTCACACTTCGCGGTCTGCACCTTACATGGATTACTCCATTGACGTACCAAGGTAGTATAGATGCTTTGAAGACTGTAAAACACAGAGGACGTTATTACAGAAATATATTAGTTAAAGTAGATACAAGCGAAGGTAAAACCACTGCCGCATGGGCCAGTCCATGGCGTACGATTAACTGATGCGCGTTGGCTGTCCTTGACATTGACGGGGATCGATGGTTTGTTCGATATTCAATGACCCAACTGCTGGATGATTTGGCTAGGACTCAGTGGAATTTCACTGGCCCTACATTCTCTTGGCATATATTCTTTTCGTAAATCACACTACACATGTATAATTTCTAGATAAACTCTGATCACATTTAGTTATTAATAAGCTTTGATTTCTACTTATCGACTTTTCAGCTCACGGCATTTAACCACAATTTGTAGTTGCTGCACCTTCTGGCTTTATTAAACCTGTATCCACAGATTGCTTTGTCTGTGGAACGAGTTTGTTGTGCTTATAGTGAAGGCAAGTATTTGCAATCTTTCATAGACTGCATTGTTTGAGATGATTAACTATGAAGTTTGCACTTCGTTATTGGTTGAGCTTACCTCTAAAAATTTGACTTCTGATGTATGTGAGAGGAATATAACTGGTTGGATACCGGCATGTCTCGATATTTGGACAGTTGCACTCGAAAGTACATATGTCTACATCATAACGTCTGCAATGTTAGTTCATATGTTACTGCAAGAATCACTGTGAAAAATATCGATAGATTTATGACGTCAATTCTTTCAAAGTTACATGGGGAAATGATTAGCCGTACAGAAACTTGAAATTTAAATATCACGCCAGAGAAAGTAGCAAGCTGTCATTTTGGGGTGTTTAGCATCATAAAGATTTCACAGAATCAACGCTAAGACTCAACCTGTTACTTGGACGTATTATAACTGATTTTCGAGATATTCAGTTTTTAATAAGTAGGATTTTGAGGAATGATATAAAATCGAGTGGATTTCTGAAAGTTAAAAGAGGTGACGTATATAGTGTAATCAAGAAAGAATATTAAACATAAATCCTTAGTTTAAAAGTCAGACAATGGAAGTGGCGGACTGATAATTATAGTATGTGAAATCCTAAGGAAAGATACTTCTCACAAATTAAAGTGATGTAACCACGGTTTTCATCATACTTTGCCAATCACACACAAAAAAGTAGCAAGAGAAATAACAATATGGTAGGAATGCTCAATTAGTAAAGAATCACAGATCCATATATGTCTTAAACAAATTTATTGACAAAATAAAATGGGGAACTTAGTCGCATGACTAAGGTAACATTTTGTTGCTACAGCCTCAAAGTTAAAGTACTCCATCACAGTGTGAACTTACACCCTAGTATACATTAGATTAGTTGTCAGAAATAGATTCTTATGCATAATTTTGTTCCAACTTTAAATAGGTTATATTTGATAATAATCGTAAACATGTTTAATCATGTGCAACCTGAAATAGAGACACTAACCTTAATGTAAGACAGGGTAGTCAATAAGTCAGCAAATGATAATTACCAAAAATCAACATAAAATTGACTGTGGTATTAGAGGAGCTGTCATAAATCAATATAGGATCAATGTCGAGTTTACTTATTTTCGTCAAGTGGTTAGCTGGGTTTTGAGTACAAATATGGGGGAAAATATCGTAAATGTTATATAAGATACCTGGCGATTTGCAATATTGTCTTGAGCAGTATTCAGTTCATCATTTATCGTAATCAGATAATGTTCATCACTCTTTGAACAACAAGGCTGGCGTTTACGCTCCTCAAAGAGAATTAACTTAAGTTTTGCTAAGAATCACTGAACTCTCGCCTTATTACGACTCAAATAAGTATGTATGTATTGGTGTAATCATTAACATTCAAGTGTAAATGCCTGCGATACTTTATTAATAAACCTACAAAATGGTATGTCTTAATACTTAAGACTACTGAATTCGGCAAATAACTTCATGGCACATTAAAGTGAATAGCTTGTCAAAAAGCAGTAGGCACCGAGACATGGATTCCTTGAGAAGACTAATAAGACGTAAGTCAAAATCATTACCCAACGAACACAGGCATATACTACTGTCTAATTACCTTCTTACAAACTTGGATTATATAATGTTGCGGTATTTCTGAAACAAAAAATGTGTACATTGACCAGTCCCTGATAAAAAGTACCGTACATTATGGTGAATTGCGGTACCCTAAACGGTTAGCTTTTAATATATTTGGTCATCCATAATTACACCCCAACTCCTGAGACAAATATGATAAAGCGAAAGTGGATTTAGGCTGACCTCAAATGCAGTCACTAAATCAAAATACTATTAATCTATCACATTTGGACGAAACGTTCGTTACTTCTATTTTGTTACGACCTTAAAAAACCATCTAAATAAATGAAAAGGCCAAAGAACACACTACGTCTGGAATTAGAAGCACACATGAAAGGATGAATGGCAGCTGGAAGCAACTTGAAAGGATTCCCCATGACAGAATTGGATGGAGAATGCTGGTGGACGGTCTATGCTCCTCCACGAGAGCTAACAGGCCCAAGTATGGTGAAGTAGAGAGTTCATGAGAAAACTTAAACTCTTTAATGGGATGAATAGTTTAATCAATAGAACAGGGACCATAAATTGAATTTATTCACCACTTATTAGAGTTACTATTCATTCATGAGGTAACATTCCACACAAACCGCAAAATATATATTGTGCTAACAGTTTAGAAGACAAGAGATACGCTAAATATTTAATTGATTAACAAATACACTTCCCTTTCAGTAGTGTTTCAGAAATATTTTGTTTTAAACATTAAAATAACGACTAGTTATGATTTCTTTTAACATGAATAGCTGATATGCTATAAACATTCGAAGCAAATCATGAGCGAGCCAATGTCATCTGGTTATAACAAATTATTAGACACATAGTTAGGCTCAGATGGACTCGCATGTGATTCATACGGTCGAGTTTGGCAAAAAACAATTAAACTTCTAGAAGCAATGTTTCATAAACTAAGCTAACACTGCCACGGGAAGCAATGATACATAGATATAAACGTATGGGTATTCACGAAATGATTCCTACGTTTGATGAACAAGTAGCAGGAAATGAGTTATTGTAAAACACTGATTCCTAGCATTTAAAATAAATGAATCTGTGGAATACATATTATTCTAAGAATTACTTTTCTTCGAACAAGTATAAACGACAAATCGATGAGATTTTAATGTTGCTTAACCTAATGAAGATTAAACAATGGATTCAGGTGTCATCATCTACATGAGAAAAGTACAAGAGTGAAGTTCTCACTAGCACATATTATATGTGAAATTTATCATTTAGGAAGTAGTAAAACTTTGTAAGCTGTGTGAATAGAGGTAATAATTATTTGAATGATGTTCTGATTATTGCCTTTAGGCAAAAAGCAACAAACTGTAATTGAATAAAATAATATTGTAAACTTCACTTATGTCTATGAATCGTAAGCTATGGTCGAAATGCACTTACAAAAAGTAGTAAAATGTATTAACTAAGGTGTAAATGGTTTACTATGTTGAGCAGCTTTATTCTTTCCAATTCTTATTTGAAGTAAACGGTTGTCAGATACGTAAAGAAATAAATATAATTTATCTTCAGATAAAATACCAGGTGAAGAAATCTCTAAGCTTCGTGAATGATACAAATTCATGAATTTGAACGTATGGAAGATGATCATGTTTTTATGTTGTTTGAAGTTTACCTATACAATCACATCTCACCGCCCACAAATTAGACTTTAATTTTATGGTAGTTTCATTTGAGAGTATTTTCAGAATTCAGACGCTTCTAAAATGACGATGGTACAGAAACGACGGTTGATTCAATGATATTTTGAAAGAGTTTACGAGTAGACAGGTTAACACAAATAAGCTTAGCTCATAAATCATGATTGGAGGTAAAACAGAATTTTGAAAATAAGTTTGCATTGCAACCATTATTAAGATATATACACATATTCATCTGTCAAATAAAATAATATTCAAGGAAACCGCACACAAACACCAGCTTTGAAAATATATCAAAGAGAAATTACAGCCAGCTAAAACTCATATATGACGACGGCGCATAAAACGCCATTATGTCACGATTATCATAAGCAGTTTAAAAAAGACAAATGTCACTAGAAAGTGTAACATTAGTGAGTGAATAAAAGTTTCAAGGAGAAAAAAGTAGACAATTTACATTCCTTATAATAGCACCCAATAAAAAAGTAATAGGCTATTGAGATAAGCGATAGAATCAAAAGAACATGGGGATGCTAGTTGCTCAGTTGTGTTGAAAGAAAAGTGGAAAAGGGCGTACACATTTTCACGCAGATTTATCTTTTTTGCTTTTACGATTATGACTTCCTTTAGGTTTGATGTGATGCCACTGAAGAAAAATAGAGAAGTGCAATGAGACAGTGTATCCATGAATAGTAACAAACGGACAAAAGGTTACCAACATACATTCGAAAACGTTCTACACAAATAAATACGAGATTTCAGTTACAAACTTATGTCTAACGAAACTGAACTGACAGTATACTACAAGCACCATCCATTATGAACAAACCTCATAAGGAATAAGCATTGTACCAAATGTTCCTTCCTCTATACTTCTACTGCAAGAATTTCACGGCAGTATATCTGAAGAGTACCGATGGGCCCAACACCTTTCCAATTCATTATTTCAAAAAGTATTAACGGTACTAAAGATGTATGTATTAAGAAAGCACTCTGTCTAGTGGTTACATGAAGTGTATTTGAGGCGTTTCACACTATAATCTCTAAGATACGGGGATATATTTCCTGTGTACCGTCTAGACTACGCTATTTAATTGTATATATCCAGACGAGAACAGAGGGGAAGTACAACGTTGTTACCAAAAAACAGGACTAACGTCACAGAATTGATTATATGAATAAACTGATTGATAAATCAATGGATAATAGACAACTAGTTATTTCGCTCGCAACAAGCTTTAAATATTTCTACTTCAATTTTGCAAATATTGTGGACTCTTGTTTCCCCACAGGCGAATTCCACAGTAGAAGGTTACTAGGACACAGCATAAAGGGAATGTAGTTTACAGGTCTCGTTATTTCAAACCAATAATAGTATTTATCGAAATGTAACATGACTGCATTCACATATATGAATGTAATTCTCCCCAAAGGATGACTTTATTTGTCACAAGCTAGTTAATATCCAGAGTAATAGTAAATAGGAAATTTGAGATAATTTCTTAATTTCAGTTCGATTATCGTAACTTAGCCCACATGACGACAACAAATAACTGATATCCCATCAGCCGTCGTAACAGGCATTAGCTGCTTTTCATTTCCACAAGTAGAACGCTTAATTTTAACAAAAGTTCGGGAGTGGTTTGGTTCTGACAGTTTCGACCAACAAAAACAGTGCTAATTTTCTGGGAAGGAACCAAAATTCGGATGAGTGAAAAAAAACTACAGATCAGTTGAGGAATTGCAAAAACCTAGGTACTTAGAATTCCAACCTGGTTGTCCTGTATTTGTTCAATGTTAGATAAGTGAGTAGAATCTGATTTATTCCAACTCAGTCCATTGCAAATGCTTGAATTCTGGCGCTGTGTATTATTAGTGGCGGTATCATTCGGGTTAGTACGTTTCTTTTTTTCAGTTGATCGAACTGTACTTGTGGGCTGATTAGAATTTTGACCTGCTGATTCTTGGATTGTACTCTCTTGTTCCCGTCGTTTCCTATGCAACTGCCAAAATGGCCGACGACGATCAAGAAAATCTTTCACAAATTGAGCTGTACGAGCAGTTTCTCCCAAAAAGGTCTGGACCATTCGTTCAACCTATTTAGATTTGATATATAAACAATTAGATTCAATGGTGTCGATAAAAAATAACGCTGTCTAAAACATACACTTACATAAATATCTTAAAAATATTTACCCAGACACTCCAGTCACAGAATTATTTTGGATAATTTTTCTGATAAATATACACACTTAACAGTGAATAAACTATTGATTTCAGTTTTGAATCCAAGTAACCTAAATTTGAACCATGTGGTTGATACTATTTTTATGTTAACTAAGGAATGTGTTATATATAAATATATATAGTGTTTGGATGAATAGCATAATTTGACAGCAATGGATAGTGTTTTTATTTATAAGTAAACAACACATTTTCAGAATGAAGAAAAAAATGTTAAGTTGGTAACTATGTATGTCGCAACATTTCAGACACTAATCAAGTCCTTGCGGACTGAAACAATCGAGAATAATACTTTAGCCTAAATACTTTTAGGCCGACAATCAAAAATCACTTTTAGCTTGATCTTGTATGAGAATTATTTTACATTTTATGATGATACAATCAAAACAGAGTAAACCATGATGGGTCAACAATAGCCAGTCAATAACGAGGTCCACAAGGACAAGCTGCAAGTCAGATGTGGAGAAAGTCAAACACTTCACTTTTACCTGAAATTTGTGCTGATGTTGTTCAGAAAACGACAAAATCGCCACGACCAAACCATCCAGCTCAAAGAACGAAACTCCACCAGGAATAGTGTGTAGCAGTCTGGTCTGATTGTAAATAAACGACGTATGGCTGAAATATACGATTCATATAGCGTAGGCTGATATTTGTGAACTGGGTTGAACGGGCTGGGTTAGGCGAGAAGCCAATATACAGAGAACCAATAAAAACTCAGAGTTGACTCTATATTGCTCAAGCTGGTTAACGCATCATTGGTGCGGTCGTATAAGTCGGTGTTCTGATTGGCGATTTTGTCACGTGATAATTAACAAGGTCATATGCCATAACAGAAGTAAATCTGAAATGGGGAATTTTGGTTCTAGGTGTTATGTTATAATTACGTTTGTCTGTAGAAAAACTAGCAGGGAAATATAGTAAACCAGAGAGACCAGTCAAAGGCAAAGAAGGAAGACCAATTACTGAGATTCAACAAAAGCGGAACAGATGGGCAGAGTACTTCGAGGAACTCCTGAGTAGGCCGGCTCAAATGAATCCACCGGACATCGAAACAGCACACACAGATCTTCCTATAGATGTAAATCCACCAACAACGGAAGAAATCAGAATGGCCATCAGACAAATCAAGTGTGGGAACGCAGAAGGACCCGACAATATACCAGCTGAAGCACTGAAGTCAGACATCGAAGTAACTACAAGCATGCTTCAAGAAGATTTGGCAGGAGGAACAAGTGCCGATGGACTGAAAGAAGGACACCTCATCAAGATTCCAAAGAAACGAGATCTGAGCAAGTGTGGAAATTAAAGAGGCATTACACTACTGTCGATACCAGGAAAAGTCTTTAACAGTGTTACTGAACCGGATGAAAGATGCAGTAGACGCCCAACTTCGAGATCAACAAGCTGGGTTCTGTAAGGACCGGTCGTGCACAGACCAGATTGCGACACTACGAATTATCGTCGAACAATCAATTGAGTGGAACTCGTCACTATACATCAACTTCATTGATTATGAAAAGGCGTTTGACAGTGTAGATAGTAGAACGTTATGGAAACTTCTTCGACACTATGGAGTTCCTGAGAAGATTGTCAATATTATCCGGAACTCATACGACGGACTACAGTGCAAAGTAGTGCATGGAGGACAGCTGACAAATGCATTCCAGGTAAGGACCGGAGTCAGACAAGGCTGTTTACTCTCCCCAATTCTCTTTCTTCTGGTGGTTGAATGAATTATGAAGACCTCGACATCTGAGGGTAAACACGGAATACATTGGATAACTCAGGACCAATTGAACGATTTGGACCTCATAGATAAACTAGGCCTCCTATCCCACACACACACACACTAACAAATGCAGATAAAAAGTCAGTGTAGCAGCATTCTCTGCATCAGTAGGCCTCAACATACACAAAGGGAAAACAAAGGTCCTCAAATACAACACAGAGAACAGCAATCCAATAATTCTTGATGGCGAAACTCTGGCAGATGTAGAATCCTTCACATACCTGGAAAGCATCATCGATGAACAAGGAGGTTCAGATGCAGATGTAAAGGCGAGGATTGGCAAAGCAAGGGCAGCATTTCTTCAATTAAAAAAACATATAGAACTCAAAACAACTTTCAACCAATGTCAAAGTCAGAATCTTCAATACGAACGTCAAGGCAGTTCTACTGTACGGAGCTGAAACTTGGAGAACTACAACAATCACCATCAAGAAGGTACAAGTATTTATCAATAGCTGTCTACGCAAGATACTCAACATCCATTGGCCGGATACCAACAGTAACAGACTACTGTGGGAGAGAACCAACCAGCTTCCAGGGGAAGAGGAAATTAGGAAAAGACGATGGAAATGGATAGGACATACATTGCGCGAATCATCAAACTGCATTACGAGGCAAGCGCTAACTTGGAATCCGGAAGGAAAGCGGAAAAGAGGAAGTCCAAAGAACACATTACGTCGGGAAATGGAAGCGGATATGAAAGGGATGAATAAGAACTGGAAAGAGCTGGAAAGGATTGCCCAGGATAGGGTTGGATGGAGAATGCTGGTGAGCGGCCTATGCTCCTTCACGAGGAGTAACAGGCGTAAGTAAGTAGAAAAACTTGGTCGAGAAATCTTTGTGACAATTATGTAACAGTAAATCAAGATATTTCTTGATTTCTCTGAAACACATCATGCAACATGGAGCATAGTAGTGCGTTACTTACCTTGGTAGCTGCAATGAATGTTTCGACTGACAAAAACATACAGAATGATATTTTTGTAAAAATGGAACACAAAACACAGTATCGAACATGTAGGCTACTAAGCATAGACAAGGTACTCTACTACAGTTCACATTGATTGTGTAAATGGTCGGTAAATGTATTGTGACAGGAATAATAAGTGACCATAACTAGTTGAGTCATGTGCCAAGGTAAATACAGAGACCCCACAAAAAGATTTTGATGAATATAAAGTCCGAAGTTTAAGTTCAATTGGTATATCGAAATTAGGTGTCAGTCTCATCTCACGAACCCAATACGGATACCGGGAACTTTAGACTCGTAATAACGGTCAATTATCTCAGAAACTAGTTCTTATCTGAGAACTGACCAAGGACAGAGAATCTGCTAATGAAAAACAAGCGGGTAGTTCAACCAGACATGAAGCATCACAGCACTTAGATTTCGAAATTAATAGATATAAAAGTAAGAGGAAATTTTTGTTTACTAGAAGAGTACAACATAGAAATAAATAACTTGGTCTTGATTGCGTATAATGTCAGCTACAACGTAGGAACATGAACTTACATGTAACGATCCAAGTCGCCATAGTACATTAGCACAACAACATGGACACCAACTTCATAGAAGTAGTTACTTCAGTGATAGTAATATATAAAAGAAAGACTATGTATAGGGAAATAATACAGGAAGAAAGAATTCGTTCGTAGAAAGAAAGGTACAAAGTAACTTTGATTTCACGGTTTAAGGGAAGACAAAGAGTGTATACACCGACGCCATTGTAATCGATTCTGAGCCATGTCATCCAGAGTCTCCAACCGTTGGTTACGACCCCAACCAAGTAGATTGTATCTACCAACATGGCTCAGATCAGAAGTTGGTGACTTTACGGATTGATATCACGTTTTGGTTTGGCAGCTCCTAACTTTCTTCCATTCGTCCCCAACACTAATCATTGCGCGCTGTGGTAGTCGGTGGTTGGGCATGCGTAACATGTGAACCAACCACCTCAGTAGATGTACATTTACAACCTCATCAACTTATTTACCTTCATTCCCTAATAATGGTCACGCGGACCCTAACCAAGTGGTATACCAACATACGGAAACATATTTCACTTGCCGCGGACGCGTAGACAGTATACGAGCCCAACTTTAGTCAAGTATAAACAAAAGCCAGACGGGCGTTTCGAGTCCGTGTTGAAATTTCATTAGACATCAACCCGTTAGGGCTGATCAGACTTCTAAGATAAGTGTTGTCGACACGTTCGACTACTTCACTCCCGATCCTTATTCCAGGTGTTGACGCGGGGCAGTTCTAGAACAACAACTTGCATTTAAAGGGGGAGAAACGTATCCCAAACATCCTGGTATTGTTGCTCAGTGCTACCAAAATACTGAATTTTATCAGCGTCCTCACCAAACAAGACTATGTCATCTGCGTATTATAAGTCGATAAGTGCATCTCCTGGAAGGAGATCAATCCCCAATAATTCGGTCGACGGAAACGTTGCTTCCATCACTAAGTCGATGATGAAATTAAACAAAAATAGTGACAGTAAAGTTTTTCCGGACACCACATGAGGTTGCGAAATTAAATGACAGTTCGCCATAAGCTCTGACTCGACTGGTAGTGTTCGAGTAAATAGCCCTCACTAGGCATAAGCACTTCTTAGATACGCCTTTTAATGACAGACACTGCCACAGCACCTCCCGGTCTACAGAGCCAAATGCTGCTTTTAAGTCAAGAAAGACCACCATTGTCGGACGCCGATAAGCATGCCTGTGTTCTAGAACTCAACGAATGGTTAATATCTGGTCGACACAGCCACGACCAGGTTTCAACCCAGTCTAGTATTTTTTCGTGTTTGCAGTTCACGAGTCTTTGTTAAGCAGCAAATAATTAATGAGGCTAGTATTTCAGATGCCATGTTAGTTAAACTAATCCCTCTATGGTTATCACAGGATGATTTTGACCCCTTCTTATGTATTGAAACAATCAGTGGTCGAGACCAGTCAGACGGGATTACGTCCAACTTTCAGGTTTTAGCTAAAATACTAGTCAATCTAATCGCTAAAATTGGACCGCCATTCTTAAAGACCTGTGTAGTTAATCCTTCTGGAGCAGCTGCTCTTTCTCGTCCGAGAATAGCTATAGCCTTTTGAGCTACTTTAATATTCCATTCAGGCTGTCTGCGAATGGTTTGTTAAACTTCTGTGTTTTCGCTCTTTATCTTATTCAGAGGCTGATGAGTTTACGGGAATCTACCAGTGCAATACTTAGTAGAAAACCACAAGTTTTCGTGATCCTTTGGTTCAAGTCACCAATAGATGTCGCTGCTGTTTCCACAGCTGTTTTTATATCTTTCCAAGCAACATCTGGGTCAGCCTTGTTTTCGAAATCGCCTAAGTGTGACTTCAGTTGTTCTTGGAATCTACGTTTGGCTTTCTCGTCAGAGTTCAACTCGACTGAGTATTCTTAATGTGGTTTTCCTGCATCCAGAGAGGTGCAAGCATATGCATGCTTGTATTAGAGCATGGTCGGAGTCCAAATAACTATTCCAGGAAGAGCGACAGTCTCCTATTAAGCCTCTTCAACGATGACCGATGGCAATATGGCCTATTTGAGTCCATCGTTGGTTTGGGGAATATGGCCAACATGTAAGATGATGTCTCTCCTTAAGCTTGAAATCAGTGCTTGTTAAAAATAAACGATTGTCTGACCACAGTTGCAGCAGACGGTCAATATTATCTGTTCGCTGAGCTAGAATACCAAAATACCCACCTAAATGTCTTTCTGATTAATTTAAGCTACCTACCTGGGCATTAAAATCGCCTGCTACGAGTACTATGTCTGAACGTTTAGCTTTCTGAAGAAGTTCAGAGAGTTTTCTGTAAAATTCATCTTTCACTTCATCCGGACTGCAGTCAGTGGGAGCGTAGGCAGAAACGACGAAAAGGCAACGACGTGTGTCCCTATCCTTTCGAGTTCTTACCGAGCCGTTTAGCCGAACAGCGCATAGACGACTATTAACGGGGATCCACTCTAACAGCGCTTGTTCCGCCCTCATGCTTAGTGCTATGCCTACACCTGCCAGTCCACGAGAACTAGCCATCGGGTCGCCAGATACACGGAGGGTGTATCTCGTCGACTCTCCGTTTTGACAAGGTGAAGTAAAGTGAATGACCACATTAGGATCCTCTATGTGTGTTTTGGTAGACATGGGACAGTGTTTCGCGCACTAAAATCCTTGGCTATGGTGACACTTGAGGAGGAAGTCAAAAGAGATAGTTTAGAATTGAACGTCGATATACGAGAAACAATAGGAAATGAAGAGAGAGATTAACTATGAATACAGTTATCATGAATGCTGTTAGAGATATGAGGCCAGTTATCGATTCCCGGTTGCTCACGCCGTAGAAGGGTTTTTCTGGAGGTACCTAAAAAGGAAATTGGGTTAGAGGTGTTCTTAATGACCTGAGAGCATGACCGGAGTTCCCAAGTGACAACTGCTTGAGGCCTGTCACACACGACCTTTTGTGAGTAATTTTCGTGTTAGTTCCGTACTTATTGGAACCTTACCACTGGAGATAGAAATATGTAGGATAAGGAGAAATGGGTATTTTTAGGGTCGACCTTTCCTAACCCCACTCTTCCTTGTGGGAAGGCAACATCGCTGTTATGTTGGTTGTCTGAAGGAAACATCAAACTGCCGTTACACCTATGTACAGTCGGACCTTGCATTTGCTGCTTTTAGTCTTACCGCTCTTCAACCGACTTGTCTGGCATGGTAGGACCTTGAGGATCGATTGTTCCAGCCAGTATAGCTCGATTGCTTCATCACGATAGGCATGCCCGACCACCACCTCAAGGTAGCAGCAACGGTCAGGAATTGCGTATAATACACAGAAATGGAAAAAGATATGGCAAAATATGTAAAGACTATCAAAATATGCCTTACTTCGTAAGGGGCATCTAGTGTAGCCAGTAACTCAACAACAGTAGGAATATCCACCTTTTCACGCATCGGCATTGAACCAAGCCTCGATTGACACCACTGAGTAAGCTTTTTGAGTTCATCCTCAACTGTCTGGTCCGGATCTGTTTCCGAATTTGATGCAACTGAGGTGCAAGCTGCTTCCGTAGGACGAATGTTCATGGTAGAGGATACCTGGGATGACAAGGAATTATTCTGAACTACTGCCTTTGTAGGTGACCGGACGTTATTTGATTTAGACCCCTAAAAGCATGGATATTTAAAGACAGCATGGGAAAAATTACAACAGAATGCTTGTTTAAAGAGTTTTATCTGCAAAAATGTTTTGCATTTATATTGCGAGTGGAAAAGTTGATAATGCTTGAAAGACTACAACAGTATAACCGTACTTTTATTCGAGAAAAAACTAATCGTAAAAAGGGGCTTTTCAAAAGAATGAGTGATCTACATCATTATGTTGATGTCCGAAAGAGGAAACAAGGATGTACATCTATTGTCCAACTATTTCAGAAAGCAATGTGAGATTTTGAAATCAGTGGTCGATGGGATTTCAAAATAGAAAAGACATATGATGCTAGATCAAGTACCAGTTAACATAGTTTGTTTTAAAATAATTATAGACAATATATGCATATAAACTTTGATCGATTTAGTTTTCTAAAAACATTTGCAAAATGATTAACGTTAAAATAGTAAGCATATTGATGGACCATAATAGTCAAAGATCCAAAACAAAAGTCAGTCAGTCAGTAACAACGTGGAACTTCGTACGTACGTACATCAGTTCGAGTTGCCATACCACATTAGCACAGAGATTCAGTTATCGATTCAAATCCCGTAGTGGTAGAGGTAGTGAAAGTATAAGTAGTAATCGGGAACATTAGGAATTGATGATGTTATTTAAGGAGTATAGTCCAGTGGAATAGATTTGGAAAAATAAAAGACATGAAGAATACAAAAGATTAGAGTTTGAGAGAACACAGACAGTGGATGCACCTGCGCCATTGCAAACGATTTTGAGCCATGGCATTCAAGGTCTCTAACCATCGGTTGCTATCACTTCGCGATCCCCAACAAGGTAGTCTACACCTACCAACACGGCTCAGTCCACTTGTCAGTGACTTCATGGATTTGTGCCATGTTTTGGTCTGGTCGCTCCTAGCTTTCTTCCAACCTACTCCTACACCATAAAACATCGCGCGTCGGGGCGGTCGGTGGTCAGGCATGCGCAACACATGTTCCAGCCATCTCAACTGATGAAGCTTCACTACTTCATCAATTGATTCGTCATCTTTACCTAGTACCCGTTTCCTAACAACTGCATTACTTACTCGGTGGTCCCAGGATATACGAGCAATGTTTCGAAGACACCTATGATCAAATACTAGTAACCTAAGAATATCCTCTACTCTTACTGGCCATATTTCACTGCCATAAAGTAGGACGGAACGAACTGCTGCGCAGTAAACACGTCCTTTGGTTACTAGACGGATATCTCGTCTACGCCACAAATGACGCAAGTTGGCAAAAGCTAGTCGAACCTTCTGTATCCTTACTGAGATTTCGTCACACACCAGACCACAAGGGCTGATGAGACTTCCGAGATAAGTGAAGCGGTCGACACGCTCAACTACTTCACTCCTTATCACTAGTTCGGGTGGCGGTGCAACCGAGTCCTGAAGCAACATTTTGCATTTCGAGGGAGAAAATCGCATGCCGAACATGCCTGCATTGTTGCTTAGAGTGGTCAGCAGACTCTGCATTTTGTCAGTGTCTTCACCAAATAGAACTATGTCATCGTCATATTCTGAGTCAACAAGTGGATCTCCCGGTAGAAGTTCAGGTCCTAGAAATTTAGATGAGGAAAGTGTCATCTCTAAAAGGACGTCAACCACAAAGTTAAACAAGAATGGAGAGAGTGGACAGCCCTGACGAACACCACTTGAGGTAATCAGTTCTGATGACAGTTCGCCATAAGCTCTTACTCGACCAGTTGTGTTCGAGTAGAGAGCCTTTATAAGGTTGATGTACTTCTTTGGTACTCCTTTAACTGACAAACACTGCCATAGAACCTCACGGTCAACAGAGTCATATGCCGCCTTAAGGTCGAGAAATACTACTATACTACACATCACGTCAAAAAGTTGATATATTCGAGCTTATTTAAATATTTTCACAGAACTCACACCTGCATGAAAACATCAAAACCAATCTCCCAAGTTACTACCCACATTGGAATTTACCAAACAGAAATAATGTAATTATCATCAAACAACATTACTGGCCTGTGACAGATAAATTTCTAAATAATAACTTAACACAATTATTTGCTACGCAGTTATAGAACTGATAAATTCAAACAAATTTCCAATTTTCGGATGCGGGGTTGTGCATGTGCACTGTTAAAGAGTCCCATACTACGTCCTGTGCTACCGTGTTTTCAATGATAGTTTATTTAAGATTAGTTCCATCAGTCAGTCAGTCAGTCAGCTGCAACGTAGGACCAGGCACGTATATGCATCCGTCCAAGTTGCCATACCGCATTAGCACAACAAGATGAACACCGGATTCATAGAAGTAGTTAATTCAGTGGTGGTAATATATAGAAGAAAGAGTGTGTATAAGGAGATAGTACAGGAAGATAGAATTAGTTCGTAGAAAGAAAGATTTGAAGTGATTTTAATCTCTTAGCTTAAAGGAAGACAGAGAGTGAATACACCGACGCCATTGTGATCGATTCTGAGCCATGTCACCAAGAGTCTCCAACCATTGGTTACGATAGTCACGCGGACCCCAACCAGGTAGTCTGCATCTACCAACACGGGTCAGACCAGAAGTTAGTGACTTCAAGCACTGATGCCACGTTTTGGTTTGGCCGCCCCTAACTTTCTTCCAATCATCCCTAACACCGGTTACCATTGCGCGTCGCGGTAATCGGTGTTCAGACATACGCAGCACGTGGCCCAAACATCTCAGTCGATGAAGGTTCATAACCTCACCAACTGATTTACCATCATTCCCTAGTACCCTGCGTATAACCTCATTATTACTTACACGGTGATCCCAGCAGATACCCGCAATATTTCTAAGGCACCTGTGGTCAAATACTGGTAACTTACGAATATCTTCTACTCTTAAAGGCCATGTTTCGCAGCCGTATAGTAGAACAGAACGAACTGCCGCGCAGTATACTCGTCCCTTAATTGATAGACGGATATCTCGCCTACGCCATAGATGACGTAAGTTGGCAAAGGCCAAACGAGCTTTTCGAATCCGTGCTGAGATTTCGTCAGACACTAACCCATTAGGGCAACAACTTGCATTTGGAGGGAGAGAAGCGCATCCCAAACATTCTGGCATTGCTGCTCAGTGCTACCAAAAGACTCTGCATTTCATCAGCGTCTTCACCAAACAGGACTATGTCATCTGCGTATTCTAAGTCAATAAGTGGACCTCCTGGTAGGAGATCAATACTCGAGAATTCAGTCGATGAGAGCGTTATTTCCATCAGTAGATCTATGATGAAGTTGAACAAAAATGGAGAAAGTGGGCAGCCTTGGCGGACGCCACTTGAGGTTGCGAAAGCAGATGACAGTTCGCCATAAGCTCTCACTCGACTAGTAGTGTTCGAGTAAAGAGCTTTCACAAGGTTTATGCACTTCTGAGGTACGCCTTTCAATGACAGACACTGCCACAGAACCTCTCGGTCAACAGAGTCAAACGCTGCTTTTAAATCAAGAAAAACTATCACTGTCGGACGCCGATAAGTATGCCTGTTTTAGAACCTGACGAATGGTGAATATGTGGTCGATGCAGCCACGACCAGGTCTGAAGCCAGCCTGATTTTCACGTGTTTGCAGTTCACGAGTCTTAGTTAGGCGTCCGATAATTATCGAAGCTAGTATTTTAGATACTATATTAGTCAAACTAATCCCTCTGTGGTTGTCACAGGATGATTTTGATCCTTTCTAAAATATTGGGACGATAAGTGATTGTGACCAGTTAGATGGGATAACGTCTAACTCCCAGATTTTAGCTAAAATATTAGTCAACCTAGTCGCTAAAACTGGACCACCATCCTTAAAGACCTCTAGGGTCAATCCGTCTGGACCAGCTGCCCTTCCTCGTTTCAGATTAGCTATAGCCTTTTGAACTTCAGCTAGAGTTGGGGGACCTACTTCAATGTTCCATTCATACTGTCTGGGAATAGAGGGTAGTTGTAGAGTAGCTGAAGGCCAACTGAACTGCTCCTTAAAATGTTCCGCCTATCGTTCTAAACGTCTGGACTGGGAGCAGATGAGAGTGTTGTCTTTTTCCGAAATAGCCTTTTCCATCTCTTTTGCTTTCGTTGCCCACCACTGCTCACGATCGTTCCTTAGACTTTTGCTTAATCTAAATCTGATATCTTTACGCTCATCATCGTGTTCAGAACCTGATGGGATGAGTTTACGAGAATCTATCAGTGCAATAGACCTTGAAGAAATCCATTGGTTCTTTGTAACCCTGTGGTTTAAATCACTAGTAGATGTCACTGCTGTTTCCACAGCTGCTTGTATGTCTTTCCAATCAACATCGGGGTCAGCCTCGTTTTCAGAACTGCCTAAGTGTGACCTCAGTTGTTCCTGGAACCTACTTTTGGTTTTCTCATTACTCAATTCGGTTCTAATGAGTCTTTTTTGTGTGGCTTTTTTGCGTCCAGTGAGGCGCAAGCAGATGCGTGCTTGTACTAGGGCATGGTCGGAGTCCAAGCAAGTACTCCAGAATGAGCGACAATCTTCTATCGACCCTCTCCAACGATGACTGATGGCAATATGGTCTATTTGAGTCCATCGTTGGTTTGGTGCAGGGGGTCGCCATGTTAGACGATGTCTCTCCTTATGCTTAAAATTTGTGTTTGCTAAAAATAAACGATTGTCTGAGCACAGTTGCAGCAGACAATCACCATTATCTGTTCTCTGTGCCGGAATACTAAAATACCCACCTAAATGTCTTTCTGATTAATTTAAGCTACCTACCTGGGCATTAAAATCGCCTGCTACGAGTACTATGTCTGAACGTTTAGCTTTCTGAAGAAGTTCAGAGAGTTTTCTGTAAAATTCATCTTTCACTTCATCCGAACTGCAGTCAGTGGGAGCGTAGGCAGATACGACGAAAAGGCAACGACGTGTGTCCCTATCCTTTCGAGTTCTTACCGAGCCGTTTAGCCGAACAGCGCATAGACGACTATTAACGGGGATCCACTCTAACAGCGCTTGTTCCGCCCTCATGCTTAGTGCTATGCCTACACCTGCCAGTCCACGAGAACTAGCCATCGGGTCGCCAGATACACGGAGGGTGTATCTCGTCGACTCTCCGTTTTGACAAGGTGAAGTAAAGTGAATGACCACATTAGGATCCTCTATGTGTGTTTCAGAGACACAGCATACATCAATCGTACGAGATTCTAAGGTTTTAGCCAAGGAAGCCTGCTGACCGATTTGGCATAGTGTGCGTACGTTGAAGGCTCCAATGTGTAGTTTGGAGCGGGGTTTCAGTAGACCTGGGACAGTGTTTAGCGCACTAGAATCGTTGGCTGTGGTGACACTTGAGGAGGAAGCTAAAGGAGGGAGTTTAGATTTGAAAGTCGATGTAAGAGGAATAATAGGAATTGAAGAGGTAGGTTGATTATGAATACAGTGGTCTTGAGTGCTGTTAGAGGTATGAGGGCGGTTATCACTTCCCGGTTGCCCACACCGTGGAAGGGTTCTGCTGGAGGTACCTGAAAAGGAAATTGGATTAGAGGTGGTCTTAGTGACCTGAGAGCGTGACCGCAGTGCCCAAGGGACAGCTGTTTGTGGTCGGCCACACACGACCTTTTTATGAGTAATTTTTGTGTTAGCTCCGTACTTGTTGAGACCTTACCGCCGGAGACGGATATCCGTGGGATAAGGCGAGGTGTGCATTTTTAGGGTCGACCTTTTCTAACCCCAGCCCTCCTTGTGGGAAGGCAGCATCGCTGTTATGCTGGTTGTCTGAAGGAAACACCTTACTGCTGTCACACCTCTGTACAGTCAGCAGTACGACTTCGCCTCCGGACCTTGGACTTGTTGCTTTTAGTCTTACCGCTCTTCAACCGACCTGTCTGGCATGGTAGGACCTTGAGGAACGGTTGTTCCAGCCAGTATAGCTCAGTTGCTTCATCACGATAGGCAAGCCCGACCACCACGTCAAGGTAGCAACAACAATACAAATTTTGAAGAGAATTAAATAAATCGAGGATATGTTTTCATAATTAAAAGTTGACGAAAACAGTGGTTAATATGGCGAAATGAACCAGTGAGTGGAATTTTGCTTTTTGAGATTTTCACTTTTATTACGAGCCGCTCAAAGGTGTATAGTTGACGTACAGTGTATTAATTTAGAATCCAAAACTGCTACATTCCAAATCCTCACTAGCTAGCTGATCGTTTGGTCTTACCGAAAGATATAACATTCCCCCAAATACAATTATGATTTAGCTACATAAGGGATATTTTTCGTATGGAAACATGGGACCATTTGGAATACGAAAACAAAAGACAACTGTCATAGTGGAATTAGGACAAACGGAAATGAGACTTGGGGTCAAAATTGACTACGTAGTGGATTATCACCAACCATGGTAAAATAAAAACATTTAGTTTCTTATAGTATTAAAAACTGATGAAATACTTAGTACTATCATCAAGAAATTTTCATAAGTGGCAGATAAAAAAGTATTATTAAACTACAAAAGACTTTCAATACTAACAGACTGTATGCAGAAACACGTATAGGAATTCAAAACATGGGAAGTAACCCTAACTATCCAAAGCTTAACTAACAACAAAAATAGAAATGGACTACTCAAGTATTACCTTATTATAGTCATCGGAAAATAGTACGATGTATAATATATCCCTTTTGACAGGAAATTGAGGGTCCAAATATAAGCTATAGGCCAAGTATATTTATCTATATCCATTTATGCATAAGAAAAACTTCTTTATACAACTTCTAAACTAATCCCGAAACTATAGCAATTTAAATTTTGAATGATGAAGTGTCAACTAACAATAATACCCTCCAATCTATGATATACAAATAATTACATTAATTAACAAAAACGAATGCCATAGTATGAACAGAACAAGTAGTGCAAAAGATAATTTAACAAAGAAAACAGCTAAATTATTTCTTTTTACTAACCTTAACTCTGCTTTGATTTGTTGACCCTGTTCGAGACGAACTAATTGCAGTCTGTTTCTGCTCTGTACTGCGCACAGAACCTCCAGAACAAGCCTCAGTATTTTTGGGGCCTCGGCCATTTTGCTGAGTCCGGTTATATCCATCTAAAGAAGTTGACTGGACAGGTTCAGATAATGTTGAATCTGGTTGGATTTTAGACTTAACATTAGTCGATCGAGGACTAGTCGAAGGCTTTGAAAGTGTAGATTGAGGCTTGTCTAAATAATTTGGACGACAGCTATGAAGATTTTGACTGACAGCAGAAGTATTATCTGACAAGTCTTTCCCACAGTTTTTCCCATAAGATAACTCACTAGATACCTTGTTAAGTGGTACTGGATTGAATCGCCTACAAAAAGGATAAAAACAAATAACACAGGAATAAGCACCATACAAATAGGTGAGATTATGCAGTAACTAAACGCCATTTCTTCAAAATCCCAAAATCATATCTTATCATCGCGCTTCAATAGTAGAAGAATGAAACCGCTTTTCAGGAAACATTTGTGTAACTGGTTCATTAAAAGCAAAGCTGTGTACAAATTAGTACAAAAGATGAAGTACAATTAGTTGGAGAAGCAGTTTAGTTATTCAAGCACTCAGTTTTTGGCTAGTAGATCGAAGGTTTGAAGACCGCTTTTTTTACTTGGGTTTGGACAGCCGGATATTACCGCTAATCCTCACTCAGTGTGGTGAATAGATAAATAGAGTTACATTATCATATTTTTATTAGGGGGGAACTATTAGTTTCAAGTGAATAATACAATGTTTACGGTGGATGTAATTTTATTTTATTTATCGCTGACTACAATAATTCAGTTGAACCCAGGAATGCATCATAAAACAATTTGAGAATGTTGTTTACCAGATAAAAACTTGGGAAAAATTACTACAATCCACAATATAAAGCATACAAGCGGTTTCAAATAAAAATTAAGTGAACAGACAAATCTAACTTAAATGCAATGGATTTGAATAGTAAAGAAGTAAGCTCCTTACCCTTCACTACAATGAGGTGCATTTTGATTTAGCGTAGAACCAAGAGAAGGCCATTGTGTTTGAGATTCTTGATGTCGCTCACTTACAGCACTGATTTCTGAAGTATGGAAGATCGATGAATTGGCAATGCATTCGTTATCAGAAGGCTTATCTTTCTTAGAAGTGAGCAAACCGTTAGAGACAGGCGCTTCTGCGCTGATACTACCCAACCCGACTCCCTAAAAAAGAGACGAAATAAGACTAAAATATGACAAAATAGTAAGTGTATTAGTCTAGATTATCGCGGAAGAAAGGACTCCATGTTATGAATCTAAAAAACTTGATGGTTAGCTTTCCTCGTTGATGAACAAAATAGGAATGAGTGTGAAGATAACTGGTACACTAAAAATGTCCAGAAATGTCACACTAAATGAAAAAAATATGCTACACGATACTCAATGGCAAATTTATATGATTCTCTGACAAACTAATGCCTTCTGAGACAATGTGTTTTTAAGGATTGTGTATTGTGACTTTAGAAGTCTTTTATGTAATGGCTAGAACTGAAACTACTATTTTTTCAAATGTGTATCCTCAAACTTAGAGGATTTATAAGCGTTATCTATAACAAATCACAAATATTATGGCTTTTAATAAATCTATTTTATCTTTAGTAAATAGTCATTCCAAGTCTTACGTAAAATTAGAGCATGGCAAAACCAAAGTTGCAAAATATCAAAAAGAACGAAGCATGATAACTGCCTAAGGGTCATAGCTTACTCGAGTAATCAGTAATTGCGCTAAAGCTAACGCCTGAGATGGCTGCATAGGAGTTTGATCCGGACTATGAGAGCCAACCAAAGCTGCGAGCTGAGCCGCCAATTGCGCTGTTTCTGCGAGTTGCTGCATAGGAGTAGAAGTCTGATTTGCAGATGGAGGATGCAAGTTCAAGTACTGGGTTAAAACTGACCAAAAACCTGGAGATAGAAATGAACTAGCTGCTGAAGTAAGGTCATCCATAGTAGTTCCATTAGTGCCCTGAAGTCTGGAGGGGAACTGCAAGTTAAAAGATGGGAAGGATGGATTCAGTGGAATCAAAGAAGTCAAGTTCATGAATGTCGAGGCTGAAGAAATGGCCTGTTTGTGTTGTTGAACATTATTAGGATTGTCTAATACAGATTTGAAGTCTGCTTCTGCATTGTCTCGAATTCTCAGGTTATTAATTGAATTATTTAGCAAGGATATGGGTACACTCACAGGAACTGATGTATTGATAGGGCCATAGGCAAGACTTCTAGAATTCGTGGTGTTTAAACCCTCTTCAGTAACTTGACAAGTAGGTACCGATATTCCGGCAACAGACGTTGTAGCGTTAGAAGCTGATGTCTGAAGAAAACAAGTGAAATATTCTTAATTTGAAGGACGGGAACAAACGACTAAAATGTTTCATACTAGAATAACGTTGCAAAGAAAATAAAGCAGAAACTGAATGCCTAGAAAAACACTCAACTTCAAGGATACAACGCTGAATACAGTAGTTTCTAAAAGCGTGTACATGGATTTTAGGTGTACCACCATGGGTTATAAGATTTTGGGAAGATAAAAAACAGACTTACGGAAAAATCTGAAAGTTGCTGGTACAACTGGTGCTGTGGTTCTGACAACAATGAACGACTAGTGTCAATTGTGGAATTTCCAACCATACTTGCATTTACTCTACTACCCTCTGATTGATCATGATTGGTTGAATTACAAGGTGACAAATCTGTCAGAGGGTTATCGGAGTTTTTAAAATGTGTAGACAGAGCTAACATAGCTTGATTGATCTCTCCACGAATAGGGGGTATTCGAGGACCAGAGACAAATGGAACACGTTCAAACAACTGTGTGTAACTGGCTAAACAACAAATATAGCAAGAAAAATGTCATTCTCTAATTTTTAATGCTTAATTTCTGCGAAAAAAAGGTAAAACATTGACAACTAACAGAATAAATATATTCGTCCATATAGATATAATGAGTTGTTATAAAACATTAGAATTACATAAGATAATTTTATCAGCTTGCAAGAATAGAACGTTGGTTTATTAACCGAATAACTAAGCGGATTTCAAGAAATCCGACTTCATTTTACGAACATAGTTATCATATAAAGGATTGCAATATACGATTCAACTTAACGGTTACTTAGAATTTACATGGAATTTTTATTGCGATTCGTTATTAGGATTAGATGAACTAACTGATAACCATGAACAGCCTAACAGCGTATTTTAAACGCACAATATATTATGGTCGAAAAAAGAAAACTGGTCGGGAAGAAGAGTTTGATTTTCAGTCAGCTTTATCCACTAGCCTTTAAATAATACCTAAAAGTAACAACAGAAGAGTTCGAACTTATATTAATGTATATTTTAAAACTTTCCGAGTACAATCATTAATTCGAAAACTGATTTTTCAAATACACTCCCCTGTAACGATCTGAAAAATGGCATCTCTACTGTTTCATCATCCTTTGGATTATTTTGAGGTATTGGTACCATACCCAAGAATCGAGCCTCGGAATCAGGTCTAAACTGATTGGCGAGTGAGTGATCTATAAACATATTCCGTCCAATAGCCTATGACATTTTAATTTACTCTAATATGTTGTGGCATATCATTCTCTTATGTAAAAAAGTTATTCTCCTGAATGTTGGTCTTGTCTTTGACTTCAAATCATTTGAGAGTTTAAATAATTAAATCGGTCTCGTGAGCAATCATCACTTAACCACAACATGTCACTGTGTACTTTATATCGATCAACATTCTGCTTTCATATTGACGATCGAAAGTCCGTCCATCAAATCACAATAAACCTAATCCACAACAAATATATGCTGAAAATTAACAAACGAAAACACTCTTAACTTACTGATGAATCACACCCTACGTGTAAAAGTATTATAGTGTTTAAAACACCTACCATTTTAAATCCAAAAGTACTTTAACTGATGCATAATAAATTGAATGGTTTGAAGAGCGAGACATCTTACCGAGAGTAGAAAATGTATCATCACATTGACGTCGTATACGAAGATTTGGAGTAAAGTAAATCCCAGCCATAAGCCATTCATTCATTTGTGCATCACTGAAAGTACCTTGTGTTCGACCCTGTGGATCTTCATACAGCCACATATGCTCATCCGACTGTTCAGATCCATTACGTCTAAGGAAACCTTTCTCTGAGCTCAGCATATTAGGAGGTTGAACACTGTTATCTGACTAAAATGCAAAAAATGGCAAAATTCTTAATTAACAAACATAAAATCTGGGTGTCAGAAATATAATAGGTTATAAAAACAACTTTGTGAAGGAAGAAATGAGGGAAAGGGAGTACAAGTGAAGAGGAAAATTCGATAAGGAATTTTGACAGAAGACATAGTTCACCTAGCAATAAAACTGAGAGCCTTCTCAGTAAAAAAAAATCCCTTTATTTTTATGAAGAATGTCAGAGAAAAGACTACAGTAGGATTATCAATGATTTTTGTTACGGGCAGGCCGCTGAATTACACCACCTAGATCCCAAACTTTTGATGGACCGATAGATACCAGTCTCATACAGCTTCCTTTCACACCACGACACTATGTCTAAAACTGACTACTAGTAAGCTTCTTTACACCCTATCTTAGTTTTGCCAAAGAAAGTAGGATATGGAAGCCTCTAGGATGACATTCGTAACACATGTCCATGCCACAAGTCAATGTTACACAATGTAGCGACATGAACTGAACCATCGTCACTTTCTGAGCACGCATGCCGAACCGCGAGAATACTAACATGGTTTTGTCATTTGATGCCGGCAATCATTAGGAGTACGATGATCGAGCACAAAGAGTGGTCGAATAAACTGAACTTGAAAAGGCCTGGTCTCACAAACCTAAAGAAGAAACGCTTCCATCAACACGTAAAACTTTTGCAGCCAGACCAACATCATGACAGATCTAAAGATGAACTGGGATAAACCTTTATGGCCTCGCACAGCCACCCACATACACGAGCTTTTCGACTACCAACAACTTATCACAAAGCGTGTATGAATTTGAAATATGAATACTACATGCCATAATTACGGACACTGACTACCAACTGATTAAAAAAATTCTTCATACATATAAAAACAAAATATAATTACAAATGTCAACGTTGAAATGTAGAACATTCTATAATACTAAGTAGCTAACAGGCTGGTTGAAGAACTTGTAAATAGTCTGAAAAAGAGTAAAAGTTAATCTTATGACCTGTGTGCACAACTATAAACATAATCGTTCAGTGAGTAATGAGCACAAAAACAGATACACTCATAGAACTAAAGCAACTTAGTAAAATTTACTAGGTTATGTCGTCTTACAGATCCACAGAAATCATTTGATGACAAGCAAGACGAAATATGGGCCCAGTACGCTCCCACTGCTTCGGTTTGGGCACCAGGGCAGTATCACAGCCCTCACACAAATTAAATGTTTTATTTATCATTTATTTGTACACATAAATATTGGTACAGGGGGTGCACCAAATATATATGCGCCACACAAAACAATGAGAATTTAAAGAGAAGGGAAAAAAAGAAAGGAGGGTAAAGAGCGTCAAAAAAACAGTAACGAACTGATTAGTGTAAGGTAGTGTAATAGTAATAATAATAGGGGAAACGAAAAAGTACGATCAAAGGAAATCTTACAGTTAAGGAAGATACAACCACTTTTTATGAAGAAAGTAAAAGAAGGATACAGCAGGATCGCCACTGGCTTCTACTCTGAACAATATCTGATAACGTTTCTAGCCACTGTTACACCATCTCTCGAACCCCAGCCAGGGATTCGTGAAGGACCGACAGAAGCTAGCCCTTTGCAGCGTTCTTTCGTACCACGACACCATGTCATATACTGACCACCTCTCCGCTTTTTCCAACCAGTCCCAGAGTCCGCAAATAATGCACGACGAGGAATTCTCTGGGACGACATTCGTAGAACATGTCCAGGCCACCGAAGTCGGTGTTTCAAGATGATGACACCAATGGAATTATCGTCTCTGTGACCGAACACACGATGCCGAACCTCTGCATTACTGACATGGTGTCGCCACTGGATGCCAGCAATCCTTCGGAGACAACGATGATCGAACACAGAGTCGTCTAACATCCTCAACTCGGAGAGGCCAGGTTTCACGAGCATAGAGCATAACTACTTTCACCGATGCGTTGTAGATGCGACCTTTTACAGCCAGACTAACATCACGAAGGCGCCAAAGATGGCCCAGATTGGCATAAGCCGCTCTGGCTTTCACTATACGTGCATCGATCTCATCACTCACACCACCACCAGCACTTATGCAGCTACCTAGATACACGAACTTCTCGACTACTTCAATCTGCTCACCATCCAGAGTGAGTACAGGATTAGAATCCTGCCAGTCTTGTAGAAGAACTTTGCACTTCGAAGGTGCGAAGCACATACCATACCTACGGACATTGATTGCCAACTGATTAAGTGCGGATTGCATAGCTTGGGCATTCTCGCACAGTGAGACAATATCATCCGCATACTCAAGGTCGAGAAGTCTTTCTCCAGGCAACAGATCCACACCGTCATTACTTACATCCGTCAGAGCTGTTTCCAGAATGTCATCGATGGCAAAGTTGAAGAGGAATGGTGAGATTGGGCAACCCTGCCTAACCCCACTGCTCGAATGGAATAGTGGAGAAAGGTGGTTGTATGCCCTCACTCTGCCTGAGGTGTTTGTGTATAGGGCTTTTAGGATGTTAATAAACTTCTCAGGCACACCCTTCTTCAATAGACAATCTCAGAGAACAGTTCTGTCCAACGAATCGAAGGCAGCCCTGATATCAAGAAACACTACGATTGTTGGCCTTTGATAAGTATGGCGGTGTTCTAACATTTGGCGGAGGGTGAAGATATGACCAGTCAAATGAGATTTGTATGGCGCATATGTATCTGGTGCCCTCTTGTACCAATATCTATGTGTTCAATTAAATGACATGAAATGTGAATATCATCCATGCTAATATTGTTCTAAAGAGATATTGTTAATGTTCATAGTTCGGTGGAATACGAAAAATTATTGTACGGTTTATAATACAAATATTTATCTGCATATTTCGTTCATATCAGTATATTACTAGAGGTTGTAGTAGGTTCAAATATAAAAAACCAGTTTCATACAAAATATTGCAAACAAAACTGAAAAATCTGTAAAATCAATATTTAATAAGACTTTCAAATTCACAAGTATACAGAAATAGTATGGACTTTTCAAAGTACAACTAGTATATATGGATTTTAGACCTTAACATACCAAGTGATCAAATTACAGAGAAGTAAGAATCTAGACTAATGAAAGAAATGGGCAGAAGACAATAATAAAATAGTTTTAACACAATCCGTCTCATCTTTGAAAATCTTGGTCAAAATTTTGTAGGATGTTTGCCGATTACTTACTACCGTTGCAATGCAAACATTTAAGACCTACCCTAATACCAAGACTCAAATAACACATATCTCACAACACACCAAACAGGGATATGACTAAGTATACAAGCAAACATCTAAAGCCTAATGTGCATTTAACTCTCGACATATGACTGTCCATGTATTCCCTTACCAACGGATACGCTTGACTTGAATTTGATTGCACAAGTCGATCAAATGAAGGTAATTGTGAAAAGAAACCATGTATGTTTTCGGCGTCAGGAACGCTGCAGCTAGAATGTCTATTAGTTTCTGTAGCGGCGACCCCACAGAAGTTGGACACGGAGTTGGAGGTGGAATCAGTAGGGTTAAAGCCATGTAAGTGCTGTGGAACAGACTTTGACCATATATGCTGCTGCATCCATATAGCGTTTGAGTTTACACTGGAATCTAAGGTCTATAACACAATTTGTTAAGAAACCCAGTGAGATAAATTAGTCATGACAATACAGAAGGAAAAGCATAAATCATTCCAAAACGTTTTATGAAGCTGTCGACTGAACGTATAAATTGAAATATGATAGTACAATTAAATTTACTTAAGATTTATACTTTGTATTCAAGGTAACACTAATAGTACTAATACGTCGAGAAATTTAGCAAAATACGATACACAAAACGATAAACATACATTTCAATTAAGTCACAATTAGGAGAAGGGTGATCATTACAGCTTTCGTATCTCAAGGAAAGGTGAGTTGTTAATATAGCATTTACATGACTATGGAAGTGGTAGTTCATTGTTCGAAGTACGTGGCTTTCAGCGATAGAGGTTGCAGTTTCGATCCCTGTGTTACCTAACACTAGACATCGCACAAAACGTGTAGCTCGAAAATCGGTAAATAACCCTGTTATCGATAAACAAGTTACCACCTTGGAAAACTGATAGAATAACTTTTTGCGATGTTACATTAACAATTTAAAGCATTGACGAGTTTTCGAGATAACCTCAACGAAGACTAAGTACTTACCAGTACAATTACAAGAAAGTTTAAGCCACTTTGACGATAGTGTCTTTACCATCAGATTTAAAAAAGCATCAATCGGATTTATCGATAGTTTTTTTTCACTATCGCTAATTAAAATAAATTTTGCTACAGAATCCCATATCTTGTTTCTATGGTATTTCTCTAAAGTTCTTTTCCAAATAGACAGGTATAGAATGTCTTCAACTACATTTTAGTATATGGTCACTTGTGATAAATGAATTATACACTCCCAATATTATTACTACAAGCAGACTTGAAAATCATTCGGATGACACGACCAAATAACATCAATGTTTATTGCTTTGATTTGTACATCTAGCAGTGCTTCATAGAGTGTGTCCCAAGGCTTGTTGCATAAGTGAGAAGCCAATTCAAGCATTGTTGCGATTTAAGTTCGTTTAACTGAAGCCCTTTTTATTCGAAGGAAATTGCTTGAATTTAAGTAAAAGTATTCGTAAAACTCAAAACTGATACCTTGTCTGGATCATTGATTCCATAATAAGCACTGACAGCCCGTTTACTCTGATTATTATATGAATCAGTATTATTATGACTATATGGATCTGATCGGGGAACTGGGATACCATCATTAGGTAAAATAGAATTTATATTCAACGTTGGGTTGCTCACAACTGACGAATTTCCTGATAAGAGAGAACCCCCTATATGCTGCACTTCAAGAGGTCGGGCACTTGATGAAGGCAAATAATGACCTGTCGTATTCAGGCCTATTGTATCTGGTACTTTGTTCACCTGGAAAAGAACAGTAAATTTCGCTTAAACAGAAATAAAAACCGCAGATTTATTCAACACGCTTTCTAACCTTTACATAATTTCAAACTCACAGTGTAAGAATTGTGCTATCTGATTCAAATAGATTTTTCGCATAACTATCGAGATTACTAGGACATACTAGAATATTCTAATTCACGTACTCTGAAAATAGACGGATCAATTGTCCTTTGGCGACTTCCATTATATCATGATTAGTTTTGGTTGAAAATGATCAGTCAAGCCAAAACTGTATGCTACTAGCAAATAGATGAGACTTTATACACAATTACTTTTAAATCCCCATGAAACCAGATTACGAGTGCAAAGCCATGTAAGCCAAATACAGAGATAATATTAAACACTAGACGCCCACTAGTGACTATGGTACCATGAAAATTAAAATATAAAACGAAACCTATTCCAAATAATTCCATGTATTAATCCGTTATATCCAAAAAACCAACTATTAATGGTAATTACCAACACGAGAGGTGGAGCGGCGCGTCAACGGTTAAGGCATTCGGCTTTCAGCAGATAACTTTCGGGTACGAACTCCACCCCACTTATTTCGGTCTGGGAGTTTGTGTGGCACTACTAGTCCCAATAAATAGAACACAATTTGTTGGAAGAAAACACTAATCTACTACGTATCGATAACTTACTTTCTAACGAATCCTCGCATAACCAGATTTTATGTTTTACTCTGCAGTAATATCATACTTTAAAAATTATCCAGAAATGAATTTTCTGAGATAATACTGATTGTTATTCCCCTTTAACAGAAACGAAGAGAACAGTAGTTTGGGATAACATGCAGTCATAGAATAAGTCCCAGAAATTTACAACTGAAAAGTATGCATCACAGAGAAGAGTTAAAAAGGGCAAGTGCTATAGAAAATACATATGCAGAGAACCAAGTGTACTCCTTAAAGCAAGAGTTCATAAACTTCCTAGGGTTGTTTAAACTGCTGGAAGTAAGAATCAGCCCAAAACTACACAACTCTTACAAAAACTACTGCACACTTACGGACGTTTTAATGCCTGAGTCTGAGTCGAGATGCCAACACGGTTCGGAAGGAGAAATCATAGAGGACTTCTGAGTCCATTGCATTGCCTGTTTGTTGGTATCAACACAATGGTTAGCAGGATTGATGACTTGATTGACATTGGATTTTTGACCATATATAGAGTCAGAAAACTGTATGCTGTGTGAATATTGTTTGGTCACCTCTCTGGAAGATTGTTCTTGACTGTGAAACAAGTTGGAAAATATATATATATATATATATATATATAATAAACAGGGGTTCAAGTTGCTAAATTTTTTTAGTATAAGGAAAAAGTTGTAGAAAACATCAAAACGATAAACGCATACAAGCATGAACAACCTAATACATGAAGTACAATTTGGGACGGAAAAGAAAACTACCAAATAACAAGCTTATTATCAAAAAGGAAGATGGATGTGTGTTTGGAAATGCAATCAAGTTTAACTTGTCTCAATAAGGAGTAAAACCCAACGAGATTATATTAAGCCTTTGGGAAAAGTACAGGGGAATCTTTTCGTGATTTCGTATTACAAAATCCACAGAAATGAGAAAGACGCTTTTAGGTGAGTGGATCTTCTTGGCTGTCTTTTCATTGATCCTGTCATTGGTTAACCTATTGTACGGCATTTTCCTGTTTCTCTATTTTATAATATATTCACTATGTTGGTATTGTTCTATGATTTTGGTGTCCTACTGTACTGCAATCGATGTAGGATAATACCTGAGTTTAGAACACCTGCTAAGGGGTCAGTGACTAAACTGAAGTAATCACAGAGAAATTCTAAAGCAGTGCGCTTAAGTGTACCTTAAGTTAAAGGATGGACAAGGTGAATAGGTAAATTAAGGTTCGTAAGGTCTGCATAACATTATCCTAACTTGTTAACTTTACAATCATTTAATGGCAATGATGAAAACTGGGAAAATCTTCAGGACAGAAAAACTACTCTTGATGCACTATCATATACCTCTATTCAAAATAGAATAAGAGGGACAGGACAGGATATGAAAAGCGACACGGAGATTAAAAGGTGCCATAACATGATTTAGATAAGAAAAAATACAAGACAAATCGTGTTGAAACCAGACTTCTTGATATGAAGAATAAACTGTGATAGATCGAACTAGATCTGTATGTATTAAAAATGCTTACGTTACTAACCCCAAACCCTGACCTCACTTCATGGTATATAACAACATAAATATGTTACGTTTATAACAGAAACGTGCCTGTCCGTTTCAGCTACAGAAGGTGCGTATATGGTGTCACCTGGCCACACAAGTTTCGAAACTTTACCTACAATTATATCTAACAAAGAAACAGTCAACGAATTTAGAAGAGAACCTTTTCGTTTATCCCCGGGAACAGAACAATTAGAATGTTTCTGGACGAAGTTTGAGAACAGGTTGGGAGATTTGCTGGAAACGCGACCTTCAGTTGGACTATGACTTGGTTGTCTTCTAGAGTTAAATGCATCATCAGATAATTCCCTAATCCATTGAGGACTGAATTGAAATGATTCGGGTTGAGCTGTCATTTTTTGGTAAAGTTTGAGAGGAATTCTTTGTTAGAACGTTTAAGTGAACACTATGTGGACACGTATTATGCCTTTTTAGTTTACTATCTTGATATAAGCATATAGGTCCTGTAGCCGTATCGTAAATTATCGACAAAGGAAGAGGACGTCAGCTGTGACGAACACTTTTGAAAATACCGCAAAACAGTTGCATAAACTGATAAAAACAACTCTTTGCATATTTAAAACATTCCTTAATCTGATAGCTGTCTTTGTGAAACCCTATTACGTCACTTCAATCTAGTTGTTTCAAATAAGTTTCACGATAGGAAGTGCTGACCACGATAAAATATCTGTGACCCTCAGATATAAATTCTCAGTTGTCGATTTCATGCACATTTCATGATTAACAACTCACATTTAACTCAACTCTATATGTTCTTATTTGCCTATGTCCCAAAGAGCAAACATTAGACTTAAAGAGACTCCAAAACCTGACAATAAGGAGCTTCACCTGTCCATTTTATAATCATTTAAGACGAAAACAGTGATTATATGCAACTCTTATCCAGTCGCCCTATCATTTGTCTACGTTCCACGTTAACCAATTACGAAGCAGCATTTACTGTATTAAAAAGGGTTTATGAAAGTTCACATGGAGAGGTTGTTTAAAATCTCTAAATCTGGTGAGAAGGAATATATGCCACATTATGTCTGTGGATGCCTATATGTTTCATTACAATGGAAATGTGGTGTAATCATTAAGTAGGTATAACTTAGGTGTTTCAGTAAGGAACCATGTGGTGGTTTAACACCATGGAGAACCAGTAAAGAGACGCAAAATAAACTCGGATGTGTTCTAGTCAACAGAAAAGATAGAAGAAATTAGTATAAAGAAAATCTTACCCACCTTTTCAGCAGAGCATTTTATCCTTCATACAGAATGTAGTACGAGCTCGAGGAGAACGGATGCCTAAAACGAAAATCTATGGATAGAAAATCAGAGATTTGTAAGCTCCTCCTCACAAGTCTTCATATATAATATATAATGATATGGACGTTTTGTCCTTTAATCTCCAGCAGGAGCCTGCTATACTTACCCACACATTTAATAAAGCAGACAACAGAGCTGATTCTCCAATTCATAAGTTTAACTATGCATTTATCGAGTAATTTCTTCATCAGGGCTCCATATTATTATCCATTTTTTAGAATTCAGTATAAAATCAACACAAAATAAGTGGTGGTGATTCAGCTTAACAACATGGTAATCATTATAACGGGTATTACATTTTTGCGATCACTAAAGTAACTGAGACAAATAAATAAACTCACATAAAAATATATAAGATACAATTTAGTCATTTGTAACTTTGAAAAAAGGCATATATATTGATTTCATACGACTGAATTGCAAGTTTGTTTGATATGTCATTTGACACTACTTCCATTAAAATGTCATAATAGCATTCAAAATTCTCATTTTAAAAATACTAGAGAACAATTTACTTATCACTGACAAACTGTTTTGTAAATCCCCTGTGAAACTTAGAATAAAACTCATGTATAAGGTAATATAAGTATTCAACACTACGTATTAAAGAAAACTTGTTTCATACTAGGACGAAACGGCCGTCCAGTGCTTCCAGTTTTCCAACGGTGGTCCAACATCAGTCGATTCATGATCCCAATCAAAAACTTAATAATCTCCACAACCTCAATAATGATAAAACTTAAAGACCAAACAGACTGGAGGACTAGGTATATAATGCGTAATATTGTTTAGTTTACTCTGAGTTAATGAGTTCTCCAGAATATTTAGTTAAGTGAAATGATGATCGGAAGTACTTGAAGCGATGGGTGAGGATATTGGTGTCATACTCTCTCAATTTATTGATTTACTCATTCAGCAGAATGGAAGGTAACTGTTACCCCTCATAAAAGGGCATATGTCGCCCAAACTTACTCTCCATCCGACTCTGTCCTGGGTCATCTTTACAGGTTGTTTCCAGTTGCAATTCATACTTTTCATGTCTGCTTCAGATTCTCAACTTCGTATGTTCTTTTGCCTTCCCTTTTTCTGCTTCCCTTCAGTTAGCACTTGCCTCGTGATACAGTTTGGTGATTTCAGAAATGTATATCCTATCCACATCCAATATCATTTCCTAGTTTCCTCCTCATCTGGAAGCTGGTTGTTCTCTCCCACATTAGGCTGATGCTGATGATATCCAACCAATAGATATTGGGTATCTTGAGTAGACAATTGTTTATAAATACTTGTACATTTTTGATTATAGTTGTGGTAGTTCTCCAAGTTTCAGCCCCGTACAGTAGAATTATCTTGATGTTTGTGTTGAAGATTCTGCCTTTGCTATTGGTTGGCAGTTGAATAATAATAATAATATGTCCTTTAATTGTAAGAATGCTGTGCTTGCTTTGCCAATCCCCTCCTTTACGTCTGTATCAGATCCTCCTTGTTCATCGATGGTGCTTCACGGATACGTGAAACCTTTCATCTCTTCCAGAACTTATCCATAAACGGGTTTCCCTGACGTTCTCCGTATTGTATTCCAGGATCTTGTTTATTCCCATGTTTGTGTTGAGGCCTATTGGTGCAGACGCTGCTGCTAAATTAGTTGTCGTGACTTGCATTTGTTCGTGTGTGTGGAATGGAAGGGAAAGTTCATCTGAGAAGTCCAAATCGTCTAACTGCACCAATGCTATCTGTTGTATTTTGTGCTTCCCACTCAGATGTGACGGTCTTCATGATTCAATCAACTACGAGAAGAAAGAAAAAAGGAGAAAGTAAGCAGTTTTATCCGACACCGATCTTCACTTGAAATACATCTCCCAGCTGTTATCCATGCCCAGTTTTGCAGCGTAATCAATCGTATGAAATCCAGATGACGTTGACGATCTTTTCAGGTACTCCATAGTATCGAAGAAATTTCCACAATGTTCTTCTATCTGCATTGTCAGAAACGTTCTCATAGTCAATGAAGTTGATGTATAGTGACGAGTTCCACTCAACTGATTGTTCACTGATGATCCGTAATGTCTCAATTTGGTCTGTGCAAAATCAATCCTTACGGAACCCAGCCTGTTGATCTCGAAGTTGGGCGTCTACTGCGTCTTTCATCTGGTTTAGCAACACTCTGTTGAAAACGTTTCCTGGTACCGACAGTAGTGTAATGCCTGTATAGTTCTCACATTTTCTCGGGTCTCCTTTTTTTGATATTTTGATTGGGTGTCTTACATTCATGTCTGTCTGTGGCACTTGTTATTCCTCCCAAATCTTCCTTTATAGTACGTGGACAATGTTTGCAGTTTCTAGGTCTGACTTCAGAGCTTCAGGCGGTATATTTGTAGTGGAATTGGATCCTAATCCCACAATCCTCAAAGCTGAATACAAGACAACTGGGAAAATAGATATTTAAAGTTTAACACTGAGAAAAACCCAACGATAAGGAAGGCAGGAATAATGAATTGAATTAATTCGAGTTGAACGGATGGTATGGCTCGTCCTTGCTGGCATGGTTCTTGTTGAATGTTACCTTATATCATTTATTCATATTAAACATATTGTTCTATCTGTAGCTTCAGCTTAATCTCTGTCATATATTGGTGATTGTTAAGATGGAATGACTTGGTGTAGAGGGTGATATGACTTCATCGTGAGATCTTATAGATTAGGCAGTTATATCATGGCAAATCTACAATTTTAGGATTAGGTCTATTATTAGACCAGTACTAATATCATAGCAGACCATAAACCTACATGTTGTCAGGTCCTGCTGCTTTCCCCCTCTTGATTTGTCTGATGGCAAACTCAATTTTCTCAACCGTTTGAAGAGCATTACGTTTACTTAAGTTCCTCCTTAACATATTACCGGTTTTTTTCATCGTAAATTCTTCTCTGAAAAGATCGTTTTAAGTTAGGAACCTGTTGCTAAGATTTTGTCTTGACTTCGTTGAGTTCGGTAGTTTCTTGAAGGTGCATAGGTTTGCAAATCTCTCACCATTTTCGTTCCTTTCTCCCAGTCCGTGTCGTCCCATGATGTCTTCATATCCAGTCTTATCCATTCTGACCTTGACATTTAGGTGTCCCATCAAAATGGTCAAGTCCTTCGTTGGACACTTCTCAATGATTGACTGCAACTTATCGTAGAATTGATCCTTAACGTCTTCATTGTAGTCGTTGGTAGGCGCATAGCATTGGATGACGTTCATTGTAATGCCCTCTTTCTTTGTTTTGAAGGAGGCTTTGATGATCCTTGGTCCATGAGATTCTGTAGGTGCATTTTGTGCTTGTTTGGATAGCATCAATGCAATTCATTGTGTATGTGGGGCATTTTTTTCTTCATGTCCGGAGTATAACAGAAGCACCCCTGAAGTTAGTCCTTGTTGTCCAACATACGTCCGATGTGTTTTAAAAATGCCACAGGTATTCGGAGTTTGACAACGCTTTAACCAGTAACACCTTCTAATACGAAGCGCACCCACCAAGTAAAATCAAAAGACAGAAACGAAGAGATCAAAGATATATTTGATGAGCTATCAATATATCGAGGATCAAATGCACTGAACTGGCTAGCGATTGCGGCAGATGTTAAGCACGGAGTTCCCACACATGATCTGGTGCGGATGCTTGACCGAGCGCCTTCAGCTAGATGAGTCCACTAAAACTGTGATCAGCATCCAATGTCGAAAACTTACAGAGCTATTTATCTGAAATATATATTCCATTTATAAAACTAAATTTTTGCATTCTTATAATTTATATTAGTGTTGAATGAAGATAGGATGCCATGTGTAAACATCCTTCATATCAGAATTATTTGACAGATATCTTCGAATCACTGACGACATGATGTAACATTACCTCCACAGTAGGTTTCGCTTAGGTTATATGACATGTTTTGTAAATGACAGTAATATAATGAATTTTCAGTGTAAGGCTGACGGATATGATAGAACTCCAACGACGCATTAATATTAAGTGGCTTTGATTATAGTAAGTC